CCCTAAAGCCTGCTTGATCGAAACGTCTTGAGCTTACCTGGTGTCTGACTTGGTTTGCTTAGGGACAAGCAAACGGTTAAGTGTGGGGGAGTTTGATAACGATGTAATTGCATGATTTTATACCCCTATTTCTTATCCATTTGCGGAGCATAGTTGTGTGTTTTGGCCTATTTTACGCCGGGTTGTGCTACTTTGTCCTATTTCAGGTCCCAGGCGTCGAAGGGAAGGCCAAGCGCGAGTTTCGGAGCATTTGGAAGTCGTTTGGTCGAGCCACGACCAAAACACGGGCAGGAGGCCTTCAGAACACGGACGTGTTCCTGGCCGTGTTTTTACTGCCGAGGCTCCCCAACATATGAGCTACACCAGCTAAAAAACACGGGCGGGGTCAACCAGAACACGGCCGTGTCCCATACAGAACACGCCCGTGTTTTCCCCAGCCCGTGCCCGTGTAATTACCACGTGGCAGAGGGCACGGGCGGGCTGGACCAGAACACGGCCGTGCCCTCAATCGTGTTCTGGCCAGTGATGTCCTTTTAGGCATATTTCAGCCAAAAAGAGAGGGGATTCGAGTTTTAGAGAGACAAAGCGATTCCTAGAGAGAGAAAGCGACGAACAAGAGTCTCCAAGTGCCCTAGCTTGATCTTCATTACCATTGGAGCTTGGCTTGAGCTTGGAGAAGTGCCGATCAACGTCCAGGAGATGAAATCCATCCTTCACAGTATGGTTTCCGCGTCTGATTCTGCTTTTGCTTCTTTCTCCATGGAGTAGTTCTCCCATTCATCTGGGTGTGGGAAACCCTAGATCTGTATGTTAGGATTGATTGTATGAACCCAAGTACTGTTTCTATTATTTGATTATATTCGATTGAGGTTTGAATGATTGAATGGCATGAATCCTGATCAAATTCCTGTTGTTTCTGCTTTAACCTAGAATGAGAATATCTGCCTAGGTTGATAGAGCATCCTTAATTGAAGGTAGCGAATTGGTGACTTTAGTCGAGGAGCCAATTGGCTATTCTGTACCGAAGTCAATTCGGTAGTGGAGGTTTGGTTCGTTAGGGCCTCAATCTGTTTACTCCGGTGGAGGTTAGTCGCCCGCTAGAGACTCAGATTGAGAGGGTCTGAAGACATTTAGTCGAGACTTCAGACTGTTTAAGAACCTTCCGCAGTATAACTATCATAGAAATTGAACTTGGTAATTACAATCCGGCTTAACTGCAGACTAGGGGGAACCATATCCGGGTGACCTCTCTTAACCTGAAAACAACCGTTTAATTGTTTTGCTTGCTTGTTAGTTTAGACCTTCACTAAAGTTTCATTGCTAGATAATACGAATTCACTGAGTAGTCATCACATCTAGGACCCGGGTTGACATTGAAACCTAAACCCGCTATACTACGCTTTAGGAAGTGGTTTCACTTGGCCATTTTCTAGAGTGACAGTAGGAGTGAGTCAATTACAAGACTTTTTCCTAGCATATATTGACGATATCAGTATCTTCTCAAATAAAGATAGGAAAGATCATGAAGAAACAATAATCAAAGTATTAGAAAGAATAAAAGAAAAAGGACTAATAATTTCAAAAAAAATCAAAACTATTAGTTAATGAAATTGAATATCTAGGACTAAAAATAAATAGTACAGGCGAAATAGAATTAACAACAAATGTTAAAGAAAAACTAGATAAATTTCCCGATAAAATGGAAAATAGAAAACAAATACAAAGATTTTTAGGAAGTTTAAATTATATTAGCGAACAAGGATTTCTAAAAAACTTAGCAAAAGAATGAAAACACCTTCAGCAAAAAATATCAGACAAGATATCTTGGAAATGGGAAGATAAAGATATATAAGTAGTAAAATTCATGAAGGCTAGTTGTGATCATTTACCTAAATTATATAACCCATGTGATCGCGATTTTCTCATAGTTGAAACAGATGCATCCAAGGATACATGGGCAGGTTGCATGCTCGCAATTCCCGAAGGAAAGAAATTACTATCTCTTGATCACTATGGCAATTTACTATCACAAAATGAATCAAATGATTCATCTACCAACCACAATGATAAATTACTATGTAAAGAATCGAAAGATTCTACATACTGCTCAATAACTTTTAATACAGACAAGTATCCAAAAAAGTTATGTAAATATATTTCAGGAACATTGTCTGATACAGAGAAGAACTATCCAATTCATGAGCTAGAAACACTAGCTTGTCTCAGGACATTGAAGAAATGGAAACTCGAATTGTTAACAAGCAGATTTGAGTTACGAACAGACTCCAAATATGTTACAGGTTTCTGGAGATACAAACTTGAAGCAGACTTTAACAAAGGAAGATTAATCCGTTGGCAGCAACAGCTACACTATTATAAGCCATATCTGAAGTATATTAAGTCAACAGCCAACCCTCTGGCCGACACCCTTACAAGAAAATGGAGGGAATAATCAAGCAGATTCAGAATCAGCAACAACAAAAGGAAGAACAAATACGATCTCTTGAAACTCAGCTTTCTCTAAGGAGGGGGGGAACTAGAACAGCTCAAAACCACCATCACCATTCTGCAACAACAAATCAATGGAAAAACTCGGCCAAAAATACAACAAGAGAAATCAGCATCGTCATCCACAAAATGGGCAAATCTGGTAGAAGAAGATGAAATATATGAAGAGGATGAAAGAAAGTCAAAGAAAGGAAAATGGTATGTCATTTATGATGGACCATTTCGAGGAGTTTATAGCAGTTGGGCAATAGCTGCTCAGCATATTATCGGTCATAATGTTAAACACCAGTCATTCACAACTAAGGAAGAAGCACATCAAGCACTTGACGAATCATACAAAGCTCTTACCATGAAGAAAACAAATGAGCTGGTCGTTCCACAACAACGACTAGTAATGAAGATTCTTGGTATTAACATTAGGAATATCCAGACCACAAAGGAAAAAGAAGAAGCCAAAAGACCTACAATACAGAAATTTCAACAATGTTGGAATGATCTTATCAACTATGAAGAAATACATACTACCATGGGTTTTTATCCAACATTCAAAGGAGGACCAAAAGCGGTAGTCACAGAAGAAGCCTCACCAGCAATGGTATTCGCTCTCCACCAATATGGATTATTGGATACCGTTTACACCAGAAAAGTTGACATCCTCGACGAATTCCCCATTAAATTCAAGATGGTTGTTCAAAACTATCTGAAATTCTTTGCCAAAGATAGAGAAATCTATCTAAAGTATACATCCAGCTATCCAGTATTCAGCCAAGGAGAAATGATTATACCATCAAAAGCCCTCATCAGAATGGGAGTCTCAAACGGAAAATATCCAACAAGGGATGAACTGAAGACAACTAAAATACCAAAAGATCATAAGGTGAAATCATTATTCTCAGTATGCCAAGCAATCCATTACATCAAACCAACAGATAATATCAAGGTCAATTACGGAAGTGAACATAAGGTGATCATCTGCAACTCCAAGGCACAATTCACCAAGGAAGAATGGGATATAATTACAAATTTTACAAGAGATTTCATCAATCTAGAAGGAACATTGGCCCCATTACCAACAGAACAGAAGAGACAACTGTACGAATTATTGCAGCTCCACGAAGACCATATCTGCATCAACTGTGCAACAGACATGATCACCACCACTAGCAGCAATAATGGAGAGGAATAGTCAGGGAATCAAGGATGACTCATCCCACTAAGAAAAAGGAAGAGAAGAAGACAAGGAATAGTCACTCCACTAAAAAAGATGAAAGCTCATACCATCACTTCTCTGCACAAATGTAACTATCTAGCTTTGTAAAAGGTTGTTTGTTTGTTTTCTCACCTGTTGGAAGGTGATGTAAGCTCTTACGTAGAAGCAGGCTAAGACCTGCTATAAATATGTATCATATTCTTCATAAGGAGGGCAGAGAATAAACGAGTAGAGTTGAGATTTCTCTCAAAAACCAAGACTTCGCCTTGAGGTGCTTAGGCACTGAGTGTTTGAGGTAATACTCTGGAGGCACTCTTATCCTCTATCAAAAATACCACACAACAAAATCATCAGACCTACAAAAACTCCTAAACATAACTCCAAACGATCATCTCCAGCATTTTTCACATAGCATCACCATGAAGACGCTAAGCAACAAGGAATCAAACCATTTCAACTAACAAGAATCAGGTATGTCTGACAACCCTAGTACTAGTAAAAATCATTTTGATTATTTAAACAAGAATGAAGAAGAAAATTATTTCTTAGATTGTATCGTAGATATCAAAAAAATAAAAGAGCAAACTAATTTTACTTTATCGGAAACCCAAAATTTCATCACTAAGGGGTTGTTTGGAAGTTGTGATTGTTAGAGTTGTATTTGTTGAATACATGCATTGTGCACAATACAATGTTTAGAAGTGTCAAAGTGTTAAACAATGCATGCATTGTTTTAGGTAGGTCCCACCAACAATCACAAAAAAATGATGCATTATACAATCTCAACTAAAAGTTGAGATTGTTGTGATTGTTGGTTTTAGATTTGTGTCAACTTTTTCTTTCCATTTATATCCCCAACTGTTGTCTTATTCTAAAAGTTGAGGGTAAATGTGAGATTTCCCCATAAAAATAACTTTATGTAAATCAATGCATAAAGTAAAATCTCAACAACCAAACAATGTATTATTAAAATGCATCCATTGTATCAATACATGCATTTATCTTATGGTGATTCATTACAATGCAACGATTTAACATTCACAACTTCTAAACAACCCCTAAGTCATTTTTATCTAAATTATTTGATAGAAAAAATATAATTAAATATGGAAAGATGCTAGGAGAAACAACTATACCAATAGAACAGACCAAATGAGATTTTCTAATCCAAATAATAAATAAGGAACAAATTAGAAAAAACTTATCAAAACTACAACAGGAAGAACGAAATAGAATAACTTATATTCATATTAGTACGATACAAATTATTTTTAAATCAACAATGAAAACAGGAATAAGTGCGCCAATAAATTTAGAAATAAGAGATGACAGACTCATTAACAATGAAGAAAGCATAATAGCAAAAGGACAAGGAAATTTAGGAGTAGGAATAATTAAATTTGATATTAATTTACAACAAGGTTTAAGTCCAGACGGAAATCTTGATTCCTTAATAATTATAAAATATGAACTTAAAAGAGACAATTTTATGAGAGAAAATAGTAAACCATTTTCAGTAACATATCAAATAAACTACGCTTTGACCAATAGTCATCATAGTTTAACATTCAAGGATAAAGAAGTAATTACCATAGAAGATTTATTTAAACCACTAAAACATTTAGAATCCCCTATAAAAATAATTAAATCAAACTATAGTAATCCAAGAATTAGCATAGACGAACAAAATCCCTCTAAAAGAATAACAAACAAGTTAAAAGAAGAAGAACAAGAAGAGATAAAAAAAATATTACGATACTTCATCAATATGAAGACAATATTGAAATAAAGAAACTACAAGAACTAATCTTAGAATTAAAGGATAAGATATAAATACTATAATGCCTAATACTCACCATATAAATAAACTAATAGAAGGAATAGACGCCATCGATCTTACTTCAATAAACGATATCACTATGATCACACTAGAACTATCATACTTTGTCTCAGATATTGTAGAAGAACAAATGAGTATCGGAACTACAGGAATATTAGAGGAAGCTGTTTCAAAAACGAATTAATTACTGATATAATAACTAGTCTAACTAAAATAAAAAAAAAACTAATGAATAATTAAAACTTAGTAACAATTAGTTAGGGAAATTGAAATCTACCTGCAAAACAAAAAACTATCAATTGAACGAGTGCGGATCTGGTGACTAAGGGGGGGTGCTTAGTCACTTGACTAAGCCCCTCCTAGCCCTTAGATCTGGACACTTCAATCCAATGGTTAAAAAGTGGGAAGGACTATTTAATTAATGACAGGGGTAGTTTGGGTATTATGGAAAATTACGAAGTATACAAACCGGATTTACAATCAGTACAAACCATACAAATATACGAACAGTACAAACTAGAGCGACAAAACATACAAACAGATTTACAAACATTACAAACGTATGAACTGTACAAACAATACAAACTAGACCGACAAACAATACAAACCATACAAAAAGAAAAAACAACCGGGTTGACTTTTGAGGCTCCATCCCTATATAGAGGGGCTCCTTCCCAAAGTCAACCCGGGTGTTTTTTAGACATACAAACAGTACGAACATGGTGGACAAAAATGACATACTAGACCGACAATCCATACGAACGGGAAAAAACACACGGGTTGACTTTGGAGGCTCCATCCCTATATAGAGGGGCTCCTTCCCAAAGTCAACCCGGGTGTTTTTTAGACATAAAAAATATTACGAACATGATGCACAAAAATGACAAAGGTTACAAACATGGTGCACAAAAATAACAAAGTTTACAAACATTACAAAAATAACAAAGCATACAAACATTACAAAATAACAAAGCATACAAACATTACAAAATATGTCAACAAACATCACAAAATTAGCACTGTCGCCGGGAAATTTTTCTCCAGCGACGATGTTCGCCGGAAAAATTTTCCGACCAGAAAATTTTCCGACCAAAAAAACTCTCTCTCTCTGGAAACATATCCCCAGGAAAATGGCAATCCCCATCCCCCACGAAGCTCTCTGTTGGGATATAAATCCCCCTCTGGTGGGAATAAAAATCCCCGGGAGAGGACCACGCACGCCGGATCACTTTGCCATGTCGCCGGAATCATGCTGCCGCCGCCGGAGTCGTGTTGTCGCCGCCGGACTCGCACTGCTACGTCGACGGAAGAATTCCCAAAAAGGACCGACGGGAGGGTGGAGGGACGATTGAATATGTTATTATTATTTTATTTTAATTTTTAAATAAATAAAATGTGTAATTACAATCTTGTCCTTCATTAAACTAGATAAATTAGAACCATCAGATTTTAATGAGGCTGGATGGCTGAGATTGGCTTAGGCATGTGACTAAGGGGACCCCCCTTAGTCACCTGATCTTATCCCCAATTGAACCATGTCACTATCTCCTTTCATAAGGAATATAACAAAAAACTAAAGAAAAGTAAAGCTACGTGAAAAACCATGCATATCACTTGCTTGGTATCAAATTCCTTGACAAGACTATTAAAATATTATATGAGGATATGTCAATTTGGAATAAAAAAATATGCAGAAAACTTTGGTACCAGAGCCTACAAACCCAACCAAGTTAACCACCCCAAGAATAAGAATAAAGAATCAAAAACTAAAATGAGAAATAACAAAAATGTGCAACCCGATTCAACCCAACGGAATCACTTTGACACCCCTAGTGACAACCCCCTTAGGGGTTGTCAGTTTGACAACCCCCTTAGGGGTTGTCAGTTTGACAACCCACCTCCTCATCATTGGATACACCCTCTCTCCTGTCTCTTTCTTCTTTTTTCAAATTGATGGTTAAGATTAAACGAAGGATATTTTTGGAATGGAAAAGATTTACCACACACAATCATTTACCCTCCCATATAAATTAAAAACAAAACCCTAACTCCTCCCACCCCCTCTCCCCCTCCTCCCTCTCTCACGCAGCCATCCTCCACCGCAGCAGTCCTCCACCGCCGCAATCCTCCACCCCTGTCGTGTCCTCCATAGCAGCAGCCCTCCACTGCCAGCACCGCCACCCTTGTCTCCAGCAGCAGCCCTCTACCGCCGTCGTGTTCGCAATCCTCAGTTCCCCTCCACCCCATGCCGTCGGAACGTCCCCTCCGACCACCGCGGCGCAATCATCCTCTCCCAGTCGGAGCCCTCTCGCCGCCCTTCGTCTCCGGCCACCACTGCCGCCGTCGCGAGGTAAGCCTCTTCCCCTACCTCTCTCTCCCGTCACCGATTCCCCTTTTATAGATATGATTTATTAGTGGTACCATTTTTCTTCTGGTATCGTACCAGTGATAGTGGTACCTACCACTACCATCAGGTAGCTGGTAGTGGTAGCATACCACTATCATATGGTACCACTACCATATGTTTTTTTGTGTTATTCTCTACTGGTACCGCTACCAATGCTAGTGGTACGATACAATATGGTAGTGGTAGCGCTGTACTAGTAGCGTACCACTAGCACTGGTACATTTTTAACGTACTGGTAGCGTACCACTAGCACTGGTATATTAATTACCAGTAGACTAATGGATTGGTACATTTTTTAACGCATTGGTACATTTTTTCAGGTTGCCGGAGGGAGTCTTCCGGAGAGAATTCACCAGAGAAAAAGTCTGTCCGTCGATGCGGAGTGGCCGCTGGAGAAAGGAAGAGAGAGAGATAGATAGAGATATTAATGTATAGGATTTAAATTTAAAAAAAATTGTATTTAATATGGGTTTTTAATTTCCAATATAATTAATACAAAAAAGGTAATTAATATATTCCTTTTTTTATACCCAAAATACCCTTGGTTGTCAATCTGACAACCCCTTTAGGGGTTTTCACCGTATCCCGTCCCGTCTATTCCTTGTAAGATATTCAACTTGGGGAAATACCCATAGGGGTCGTTTGGAGAATATGAGTTTAAATCTACCGATTGTCAACAATCTAAAGATTCTAACTCTTCGGATTGTTGAAAACAGATTTTAAAATGTTTATTGTTTGGTAACTGTGATTGTTAACATTCAATAAAAATAAAAATTTAATATTATATTAAATAACATGTTTATCCTTAATAAAAAAATTAGAGTGGTTCCAGAAATATTAAAAACCTTGATGATAAATATATTTCATGTGATAAATAAATAAAAAGAAGATAAAAACTAGGAGGAAAAAAATCTCACGAATCAAGATATATAATCTCTCTGATTATGAGAGATTTGATATCTGCAGATTTTAGAGATTTGAAATCTCTAAAGCTAGAATCCACAATACAAAAAGCAACAAAAAAACATAACTTTCTATAAAATCTACGGATTCAGTAAATCCACGTCCTGAATCCTGTTCTCCAAACGACCCCATAATATCATGATACACATTGATTGTATTGATTTGATTTGAATCAGACTAGGGGCCGATACACATTTGGGTTTGCTATTTTGGGCCTGGTTATAACCGTTTTTGCTTTACCATATTGAATTAAGGTTAGACCACATGGAGAAGTACTATAAATACTTCTCATACTCCTATGTAATCGGTATCTCCTCAAAGTATAGTGAAATGGACTCTATATTGCTCGTGAACTAGCTAACACGCATTGTGTTAGTGAACCATAAAAATCAGTGTGTCGTGTTCGTTCTTATTTTCATTTTCTTGTTTTGTCGAATCCTCTAATTTCCCGGTTCGCAGTCAATCCTCTAATTTCCTGCATCTACCTAGGTTTACACATGGCAGTGAGATATTTTCCGAGCATCATATCTCTCCACATTCCCTTTTTGTTCCCTCACCTCTCGAGTTCCACATATGGGAATCTAAACTGGTGAGCAGGCTTCGAGACTTGAGAAGAGTGGGGTCTGCTTCGTGACGTCGCCCTTCGCTCCCACTTTCAATCTCGCGGGCGCTCTCTCTATCTCTCTAGGGTTTTGATGGCAGTCGCGACGACTAGAGCGAGGAGAAAGTTCAGATGTTGTGATTGAGCGACGATTGAAATGATGACTAAACAATTAACACAGGAACTTCAATACATTCCAAAATCTCTCGTATCAAAATTCTAAATCCAAAAGGACAAGAGAGATTCAACTAGGGATGGCAAAAATATCCGTAACTGTGGATATCCGCTCGAATCCGACCTAATTGGGTAGGGTAAAAACCGAAGCCGAAGGACTTTTAGTGGGTACGAGTAAAAACCCGAACCCGAATATTACGGGTAATGGGTGGGCATGGTTTTTTCACTATCCAACCCGAACCAGCCCGATTATACACATGCATATGTATTTTGTCTAGAAATAATCAATATTTTTCTCTAACATATTTTATATTTAGCATATAAATATAATATTTTTATGAAATTGTGTTGTTTTAATTAATTTTCTTCATTCTAGTGAATTATTGTCGTACGTTTTGTCTTACATAACGTGAGAAAACGTGTGAATATTAACATATTGGTTAGATTTATAAAGAGAAACTATTACCCATGGATAACCGTGGATACCCGAAACCCGAATGGGTATGGGCATGGTTTGGATTTTCTACCCGTTTCTTATGTGGGTATGGGTTTGGGTAAAACCCGAACTACTTTGAATAGGGTAACGAATATGCACTATCCGTCCCCGACCCGACCCATTGCCATCCTTAGATTCAACACATTCCAACAGGAATTTGAACAAGATTAGGTAGGAAGCAGCATAACTTTTTTTTATTGAGGTTAATTTTTTTGTTGGTACTAGCTGGCTCCATTAGTACATTCCTTGCAAGCGGTTGCCTCACCGCAAACTGTCGAGGTAGGCACCCTTGGGTCCATCCGTTCCTC